TCAGAGGTATTCTAGGTAGTGTGTTGAACTTGGTGAAGTGTATGGGGTATTGGGTATTGAGGAAGTATTAAAGAGGAGAAGGTAGGGAGAGGAGAGGAGGGTATGTAACTTGGTAGGGGAGGAAGTACCAGTCAAGGGTTAGCCAATGGTATCAGTTGTGATCTTTTTATCAAAGTTGTATGGAGCAGTTTGAGTTGCTTAACCATCGAGCCCATTGAGGATGAAATTTATGTTGAGAGGAGTTATTTAATGCTAATCTCTTTTCCATGTCACATTGGAAATTGAGATCGTGGATCAAGGATGTGAGTGAGGGAGCGTTGGTGGTGTTCCATAGTCTAGTAATGTTAACTTTGGCTGCGAAGAGTGTATGGGTAATGATGGTGCGGGAGTTAGGTGGAAATGTTTCGATTCCGATATGTAGGAGTGCTAAAGAAGGATTTGGGGTGATCGGGGTCCAGATATTTCAGAAATTAAATTGAAAACGCTATTCCAGTAGGATCTAATTGTTTTGCAGGACCAGAGGATATGCAGTGTTGAACCAATTTCACCACATTGTCTCCAGCAGGAAGGGGGATGGTTTGGATAGTAGGTAGAGAGCTTGACGGGAGTTAGGTACCATTGGTGAAGGATTTTTAGGTGCGCCTCCCAGTGTGAGGTGCACCGGGTGGATTTGTGGGTGATGCTGAACGCTCTTTCCCATGATTGTGTTGTGATTTGTTCTGAGAGTATTTTTTCCCAGTTTGTTAGGGAGGTAGATTGTATGGCGAATTGTAGGTTAGTGAGAAACGTATAGAAGGTGGAAATGCCCTTGCCGGGATATCGTGTTTTGGTAAAGAAGTTGTAGGCGGTAATTGGGAGCTTTGTAGAGTAAGGTATTTTCGTTGTTTGTAAGCAATGTAGAATTCTTAAGTAGGTAAAGTGTTCAGTAAACGGGAGATTGTATTTAATTTGAAGATTTTGGAATGAGTATGGGATTTGGTCATTGTAAAGGTCAGTAATGTGTACTATGCCTTGTGATGTCCATTGGGAAAATTTAATGAGGGTGTTAGGACGTGCAGTAAATTGAGTGGAGTAGGGATATATTTAATGTCAGTAAATTTGGTGGTGAGGAGAGTTTGCCAAGCTTGCAGGGTGGCTTTGATACAGGGGTGTTTCATTTGATATTCGAATTGGGCTGTATGTGGTGTTATGCGCAGGTTTTGTGGATCAAGATGGTAGAATGGGAGGGTTTCCATTGTGGACCATATTTTTTTCTTTCGAGGGGTTCCACCAAAAGTATATTTGGTCAAGTAGAGTGGCGTTGTAGTATGATTTTAGGTGGGGAAGACCTGCCTCTCCTTTGTTTGTGGTGCATATGAGAAGGTTAGTAGTGCATCTGGGTTTTTTGTAATTCCATAGGAATTTTGTGAGAATTGTTTGCAATCTGGAAAAGAAAGCATTAGGAACTGGTATTGGAAGCGTGCGGAATATGTATAGGATTTTGTGTAGTATGTACATTTTTATAGTAGCTACACGGCCTAATTTGGAGAGTTCGGAGGTGCGGAGAGTAGAAATTTTGTGAGGGATAGTTTCAAGGAGTGTCTTATGATTTGCAAGGTATAATTGGTCTGTTGTTGCGGTTAGTATAATTCCTAAATAGGGGATACTGAGGGTTTCCCAGGAAAATGGAAATTGTGTAGTCAATATTTTTTGGTCTTGGAGTGATATATGGAGATTTAGTAATGAGGATTTGGGTTCGTTAAGTTTATAGTAGGAGACCGTCGAGTAGGTATGGAGGTGGTTACGAATTGTTGTGAGGTATTTGATGGGATTGGTCACCATCAAAATGATGTCATCTGCAAATAGGCTGATTTTATGTTCTATGCTGAGATGTTTAATTCCGGTAAATGACGGTTCATCTCTGAATTTAGAAGCTAGAGGTTCGATGAGGAGTGCAAATATTATCGGGGAGAGTGGGCAACCTTGTCTAGTGCCGTTTGTAATGTCAAAAGGATCAGATAGTGTTCCGTCTGTTAGTACTCTAGCCGAGGGGTGTGAATATAGGGATAGTATGGCTGTCAACATCCATCCTGTAATTCCAAATTTCTGGAGTGTGAGTTGCATAAATTTCCAGTGTATGCGGTCAAATGCTTTTTCTGCGTCTAGGGATAGTAGTAGGGAGGGGCACTTAGAGAGTTGAAGGTTGTGGAGGAGTGATATGATTCCTCTCGTTGCGTCAGGTACCTGGCGACCAGGAATGAAACCTACTTGGTCTGGATGGATTAGGGTAGGAAGATAGGAGAGAAGTCTGCGTGAGATGATTTTTGCGTACAGTTTTATATCAGTATTAAGTAACGATATCGGCCTATAATTGTGGACAAGTTGTGGATCTTTTCCGGGTTTTGGTATAGTTGTGATAATAGATTGTAGCATGTCTCTAGGGAAAATGCCAGTTTCGGCTGCATTATTAAAAAGTCTGGCCAGGTATGGTGATAGTTCAGAGGCGAGGTGCTTGTAATATTCATTTGTGTATCCGTCGTTTCGTGGAGATTTGTTTAGTGGTAGCGTTTTAATAGTTGTTTCTATCTCTTTGGGGGAGATTGGGACAGAGATGTCGGCAAGTTGGGATGGTGAAAGTTGGGGGAGTTTTGTTGTGTGTAGGAATGTTTGTATGGATGTGAGTGTAGGTTGTGTGGTGTTGGGATCGTTTTTAAGGTTGCATAAATTTTGATAATACTTTGCAAAAGCATTAGCTATATCTTGTGGGTTGGTGTATAGGGTATGAGTGGTTGGGTGTTTAATTGATGCAATTTTAGATTTTAGGCGTTTTTGTTTTGATGAATTTAAATAGTACTGAATTAGCTTTGTTCCCTAGTGCGTAATATTTTAGTTTCATCTTTTGGAGGTTAAGGTCATATTTATATAACAAAGTAGTTTGTTTCTGTCTGTATTAAGAGAGGAAGCAATTAAGGGATCTGGGGATTTTTTGTTGATTTCTTCTTTTGATTTGATGGAGGAGAGGAGTTTGTCTATTTGTTGGTTTCTTTGTTTAGTGATGTGGGAATTAATTTGTATGAGAATACCTTTCATGTATGCCTTGTATGTAGACCATAGTGTGGAAATAGATATATCAGTTGTATCATTAAGTTAAAAAAAAAGTGTGGTGTGCATCCGATATGCATTTCTTGAGGTCTGGATTCTTCAGTAGGGAGGAGTTCAGTCGCCAAAGCCGAGGGATCTGTGAGTATTGTTTGTGGTCAAGAGAAATAGTAACCGGAGCATGGTCTGACCATGTGATGGTGCCGATCTTAGAAGAAGTGATATGTTGTAGGGTCCATTTGTCGGTGATGAAGAAGTCTGGAGTAGGATAGATGAGATGGAGAATAGTAGGTGTAGTCCCTTTCCATGCTGTGTTGGCATCGCCAGGCATCATATAGATCGTTGGAGTGTAGAAAGTGGTTAAGGGTCTGTTTGGAAGCACGTCTATTGGAGGAGTCCAGGAGCGGGTTACCGATCATGTTGAAGTCTCCGCCGATGATTAGTCTGCCTTTCCTGTGCTGAGAAATGATCACGTTGAGTTTGTTGAAGAATTGAAGATGATTGGCGTTTGGGCCGTAGACATTGACTAATGTATATAGAATGTCTGTGATTTTACAGATCAATATATGGTAGCGGCCTTGTGGATCCACTGTTTCAGAGATTAATTGAAGTTAGAGGGAGTCTTTTATAGCTGTGATGACCCCGTTTTTTTTCCTGCGGTTTGCTGACATGTAGGTTGAGGATTAGTGGTGGATATTGAACTTGGGGATTTTAGAAGAGGCGAAGTGGGTCTCTTGTAGGAATAGTACATCTGCCTGTAGAGAACGAGCTTCTCTGGAGAGTAAGGATCTTTTGTAGGGCGAGTTGAGGCCTCTAACATTTAGCGATGATATATTAAACATTTTTCCTTTTGTTGGTGGTTTGTATAAGTATCAAGGTCCTACCTTTCCTCAGGGCTTGTGCTGCTCCATTTGCTGGCATCCATCTTAGGTCTGCAAAGCATTGTGGGATCCTTTATGCTTTCAGCCCTCTGCGGCTCCTCCCAGGAGGTGGCGGCTTATCACATTTAAGTCTGCTGTTTGCAGCTGTCCATTGCATTCGTGTCCTGTCTGTTGCACAGCAGCAAGCTCCTGTTCAGTTAACTCTTTGCTCTCCTGGATACCGACTCGGCTTTGGCTAAGACTCCTCCTGGCTTCTGACCCCGGCTCTGGCGACCATTCTTCCTGGCTTCTGACCCCGGCTCTGGCAACCATTCTTCCTGGCTTCTGACCCCAGCTCTGGCGACCATTCTTCCTGGCTTCTGACCCCGGCTTTGGCTACGATTCCCGCTGGTTCTAGACTTGATTATCCTGGAAGACGACCTCGGCAGGAGAACTTCTGTCCTACCAAGTCATCCGCTGTTGCTGTCAGACTTGCATAGACTCTTGCCTTGTTTCTGTGTAAATAAACCTACCTTTAATTGCACCTCCTTGTGTGTCTGGCTCCTCGCTCCCATGAATCCTGACGGTGCAGGTACGCCCTCGCTCCCTATGTTGGTTGACAGACTTGATCAGCAGGATCTCTTTTTGGATCAGTTCGCTCAGGCATTGCAGACGCTGCTTGCATGCACAGCGCACCTTGCTCCTGGTGCAATTAGGCCGGTTGTCACTCCTGTGGTCGCTTCCGCTGCTGCTCCGGTTGTTGCGCCTACCTCTGCATCTGCTGCTGCACCTGCGGTGCCCAAAGGTGTGACTGGTTCAGCCCCCCTTCCACAGCGCTTTGGGGGTGAGCCGAGTCAGTGTCGGGGTTTCCTTAACCAAGTGGGCATATATTTTGAGTTGATACCCCACGCTTTTCCTACTGAGAGGTCAAAGGTGGGCTTCCTAATCTCGCTGCTCTGGGACAAGGCCTTGGCCTGGGCAAATCCCTTATGGGAGAATGATAACCCTGTGATTCACAAGTTTGCCGGTTTTGTTGCCTCCTTCCATAGGGTATTCGCTGACCTGGCGTGTGACCTGACCATTCTCTGCCCGCTGCTTTGTACCGCACCGACCCCATGGCTCCCGACTCGGCTTGTTTGACCCTGCACTCGCTCATCCATCCATCCCGTCGGGGTCTCCCGGCCTCCTCACATCAGGCTCTGACCCTGCAGGGACCTCTGCGAACCCCTCTATCACTGGTGGGTATACCCAGCAGCCGCAACCTGGTTTCGGTGCACTCCAAGTCCATCCCCACCATCAGGAGCCCTGGTGAACAAGTGAACCGGAACTTAGACTCCGCGCTCTGGGGACGCCTGACCAGTGGGCTGCTAGAGGTGCCGCCAGGAGGTTCCTTACAGTACCAAATGGCCATGACTGAGCCTGGAGGAGGTTCCTCCCCGCTGGAAGACATATGCCGGCACTTGGCGGCCCTGACTCAGGCCGTCTCGGCCTTACAGGATAAATATACGCATCTGGAAAATCGCTTCCAGACATTTACGGTATCTGACACTACCTCCCAGGCCCCAGTATCTGCCAGCCACGGGGGCTTCTGCCGCACCACCAATGACCGAACCCCTGCCGGAACGCTCCCGCGGAGACCGTGCACGTTTCAGGGCCTTCCAGAACTCCTGTCTCCTATTTTCTATCTGCAACCACGCACATTCACGACAGAGTCGGTTAAGGTGGGGTTCATAATCTTGTTACTCCAGGACGAACCCCAGGACTGGGCCCATCGTTTAATGGAGAACCATGACCCACACCTTGAGACGGTAAAGGATTTTTTTGAAGCAATGGCCATTCTCTACGACAATCTGCAGCGGGCAGCTTCCACCGAATCGGCCCTATACTCTCTTAAACAAGGCCGCTGGGTGGCGGAAGAGTATGCTTCCGCGTTTAGGCGATGGATGGGAGATACACGGTGGAACGATGCCGCCCTATGCCACCAGTTCCGCATTGGGCTCTCTGAAGCTCTAAAGGACGAGCTGGCCCGAGTGGGCCTGCCTGAGTCCCTGGAAGATCTCATTTCCCTAGCAATCCAAATCGACGGCAGATTGTGGGAGCGCAGGTTTGAGAGGTCCAGCCAGGGTCAGGGAAGTACATGGGCCCCGATCCGGGGTGCAGGCCAACCTACAGCAGTGGATAACCGGACTCCAGCTCCCGTGGACACCCCAGAACCCATGCAGTTGGGTCTGGCTCGGCCTTCGCTATCCCCTGAGGAACGCCAGTGCAGACGATCCAAAAACCTCTGCCTCTACTGTTCTTTGTCTGTTGGGGGATATTAGACAGTCCAGTTACTTAGCTGTACCCCTCTCCTTCCAGCTTCCAGGAAGAATCGTGGAGGTGACAGCAATAATTGACTCGGGGGCATGCAGTTGCTTTCTGGATCTAAACTTCGCACATCAGCAGGGGATTCACCTACAGCCCAGGAAACAGGGCTTTAACATATTTCTGGCTGATGGTTCCCAAATTAAGTCAGGGTTGGTTGATCAGGAGACCTCCCTTATTCCCACTACAATAGCAGGCCAACATTGGGAACTCCTCCGTTTAGACACCATCGCGTCACCCCTTTTCCCAGTCATTTTGGGGCTCCCTTGGTTGCGGGCCCACAATCCCCAAATTGACTGGGAGACCGGGTCTGTTCTGTTCCGCTCGTCATACTGTCAGGAACACTGTCGCGCTTTGGGCCCCGCAACTCCCCAAGTTCTTCTGTGCTCTGAAGGGGACTCTAACTTAAGACAGGTCATTCCAGCGGCCTATCATGGCTACCTAGACGTCTTCAGCAAATGGGGGTCAGACTCCCTGCCTCCTCACTGCCCGTATGATTGCCCCATTGACTTGTTACCCGGTCCTGAAATTCCATTCGGCCAAATTTTTCCTTTGTCTGAATTAGAATTGGGGGTTCTCAAGGACTACATTGATGAGAACCTCCAAAAAGGGTTCATCCGCCCCTCCACCTCACCAGCGGGGGCTGGGATTTTCTTTGTAGAAAAGAAGGATAAATCCCTAAGACCCTGCATTGACTACCGCGAGTTAAAGAAGGTCACGATTAAAAATTGCTATCCTTTACCCCTGGTCCCAGAACTCTTCCAGAGCCTGAAATTCGCAGCTATTTTTACGAAATTAGATTTGAGAGGTGCTTACAACCTGGTTCGCATAAGGGAGGGGGATGAATGGAAAACAGCTTTTCGCACTCGTTTTGGTCATTTTGAGTTCCCGGCCACGTTCCAACATTTTGTCAATGACATATTCAGGGACTACCTCGATGTCTTTGTAATCGTCTATCTAGACGACATATTAATATTATCACCCTCACTTGAGACTCATGGAGACCATGTGGCGAAGGTATTGGAGCGATTACGCCTACACGGGCTGTACGCTAAGGCTGACAAGTGCAGTTTTGAACAGCACAGTATTGCCTTTTTGAGACTGATCATCTCCACCATGGGGGTCGCGATGGACCCTCAAAAGGTCTGGATTGGCCAACACCCACAGATAAGAAGGGCGTCCAACGCTTTGTTGGATTCACAAACTTCTACAGAAAGTTTATTAAGAACTTCTCGGGTCTGGTCTCCCCCATAACGCAATTAACCAAACAAGGAACCCGATTTAAATGGACACCTGAGGCCCAGGAAGCCTTTGAGTCTCTGAAAAAGTTGTTCACCACGGCACCCATTCTCGGTCATTCGGACGCCTCTCTGCCTTATGTTCTGGAAGTGGACGCATCAGAGAATGCAGTAGGGTCCATCCTGTCTCAGAGGAAAGGCACCAAGGAACTTCTGCACCCTGTGGCATTCTTTTCAAGGAAGCTTACTCCAGTCGAAAGGAACTATGACATTGGCGATCGAGAACTGTTGGCCATTAAAACAGCACTGGAAGAATGGAGATATCTGTTGGAAGGAGCCACGCATCCGATCTTGATCTTCACAGACCATAAGAACTTATGAATATCTGAGGACGGCAAAGCGCCTACGTCCACGCCATGTGAGGTGGGCGCTCTTTTTCTCTCGATTTTCCTTTCACATAACGTACAGACCTGGTTCCAAGAACACGAAGCCCGACGCGCTCTCACGCATGTTTGAGGATCCTAAGGAAGAGCCAAGGCCTGATACCATCTTGTCTTCAGGGAACTTCCTGGCCCTCCAAACAGAACTTCGCTCTAAATTACAGGACGCATCTATGGCGATGTCAACCCCACCTGGGGTGTCCCTCCAGAACAAGGGAAGACTCTTATGGAAATCATGGTGCCTGAAGAAGTCCGAACACTGGTCCTAGGACATTGCCACGATCATCCGATGGCAGGGCACTTCGGGCTGGCAAAGACTCTGGATCTGCTCAAACTCACATTTTGGTGGCCAAGCATGACCAAGGACTGCGAACATTACGTCAAATCTTGTGCCATCTGTCAAAGGAACAAACCTCCTAGAAGCAACGCCCACTACCTATACCCGATCGGCCATGGCAAATGATTGCAATTGATTTCATAGTCGAACTTCCCCCGTCCCAGGGCCACACCGCGATCCTCGTGATCATTGACCATCTGTCAAAAATGGCCCACTTCTTACCCCTGAAGAATACACCTTCGGCGTTTGAGACTGCACAAATCTTCATACGGGAAGTGGTAAGATTACACAGAGTTCCGGAAGATATCGTCTCGGACCGAGGAGTTCAGTTTACCTCCAAATTCTGGAAAGCTTTATGCAAGGCATTGGGTATCAAATTGTCCCTCTCCTGCGCTTTTCACCCACAGACCAATGGGCAGACGGAAAGGACTAACCAGATGCTGGAACAGTACCTGAGATGCTACACGTCCTTTCTGCAGGATAATTGGCTGGTGCTCTTGCCTTTGGCAGAATTCGCCTACAATAATGCGAATCATTCAGCCACGGGGCAATCCCCGTTTTTTGCAAATTACGGGTTTCACCCCATTTTTCTTCCCGATCTGGTCGCCGAGAGTTCAGTTCCAGCTACTCAAAGCACGCTCTCCTTCTTCTCTACCTATAATAAGCTACTTCAGGAAGCTATTTCTAGAGCCCAGGAAGACAACAAAAGGGCCTTTGATAAGAAGCGAAGGGGGGAACTAGTGTTGCAACCCGGGGACAAAGTCTGGTTGGCAACAACGAACCTGAAAATGTTGTGTCCTTCGAAAAAATTGGGACCGAAGTTTATGGGTCCTTTCCGTGTGAAGCGAATGATCAACAAAGTGGCGTATGAGCTTATTCTTCCAGAGACCTTTAAGATCCACCCGGTATTTTATGTATCTCTGCTGAAACCCGTTATCCCGGATCCATTCCCGGATCGGGAGTCCAGACCCCCGGAAGCCATAACCATTGAAGAGCAGGAAGAATTTGAGGTAGAAGCAATCCTAAATTGCCGAAGGAGGGGGGGCCAGACCCAGTTCTTGATTAAATGGAAGGGCTATGGTCCAGAGGAGAATTCCTGGGAACCGGCCCAAACTGTTCATGCCCCTAGACTTATCCGGGAGTTTTTTCGTGGCCACCCGCATGGAGAGATCAGTTGGGCACCCGGAGGTTGCCCGTAGGGGGGGAGCAATGTCAGAGATCGCCGCGGTGCTGGTCCCGGTGCAGGTGCAGTGCACCATCTGACCAGTGGGCTGCTAGAGGTGCCACCAGGAGGTTCCTTACACCTCCTAACCGATTGGCGCCTACGTTTTCTGTCCCACCAGTTCCTCCCTCTCCTCCCACGCCTCCTGGGGATGGCTTGTCTGGCGGTGAGCCCATGCAGCTGGGGTTTGCTCGCTTTTCTGAGGGGGAGCGGGCCTCTCAGCGTCGGGAGAGTCGCTGCATGTACTGTGGTCTCGGTGGGCATTTTCGGCAGTCCTGTCCGGTCCATCCGGGAAACGCTCGCACCTGAGATCCTGTCGGGGGCAGATCTTGGGTGGAGTTTCCTCGTCCCCGGTGTCCCGCAAAGATAAACCGCTAATCACCGTTGTCCTCTCTTGGGCGGAAGGCTCGGTGACGGCCCATGCGTTGGTAGACTCTGGTGCTGGCGGGTTGTTTATGGACAGTTCGTTTGCTGCTCAGTACTCCATTCCTCTGCAGGCTAGAGTTACTCCATTGGTTCTTGAGGCGATAGATGGCAGGCCCCTGCAACCGCTGCAGGTTACCCACGAGACCCTGCCAGTTGAAGTAGCTATTGGGGCTGTTCACAGGGAGTTGGCCTGTTTCCAGGTAATTTCTTCTCCGCACTACTCCGTGGTTTTGGGATATCCCTGGCTTCAGAAGCACAATCCGACCTTTAATTGGCGGTCGGCCGAGATTCTCTCGTGGTCTCCACAGTGTGGGGCCGGTTGCATCCGTGGACCTGTTAAGGTGTTGTGTGCCTCCTCGGACTCTGTGT